TGTGCGCAGGTAAATTTGCACCTGAAATCGTTTTACTTCCACCTGTTTCCTTTGAAGAGTTTGCACAATACAAAAACCTGTCGACTATTTGAGTCCAAGTTCCGAGACCAAGTACTACTTCTGGTCTGGTAGAGTTCATTGACGTGTAAATAGAACCTATAGGATATACTGTTTGAAGTATTTCTGTCTTTAATGTTTGAAGCTCTGTTTTGTCAGCTTTTTTATCATATAAATCTTGAGCAGTGAATTTAACTTTGTTTTCATCCTCCATGACATAGACATTTCTACATCTAATGTATCTCATCGTTGTTATGTCTTCTTCCGATGTTAAACCTTGTGGAAAGTTAGGAGGTTTCCAATCTAATACATCCCCACCAGCTCCTTCAACCGTTCCTTCAATATTTTCTATACCAAAGTTGCGAAGAAATCGTGTGTATGTCCAACGTCACTTTTCTTGTTTAAGGTTTCTTGTAAGTTTGTAATATCAGATATGGTATGTGTATGAGTCTTTTTAGAATATTCTTTGTCAGCTCTTGTCACTTCACTTGACATTTTATTGTCAACATATGTTTTGTCAGCTTTGTCATCTAACATTGCTGGTAGTTCATCTACGTCATAGATGTTATGTGTATGATGTTTTTGTGGGTATGTTCTATCTGTCCATGCGAGAATATAGTCTCTTGTTGCATCTACATACTCTTTGTCAGCTTTGTTGTCAATATCTGCTTTCAAAAGAAGTTCATCTATAGGTTTCTCGTTTAAAGTTCTTTTTGTTGGATTTATACAAACAGTATGGTTCTTACTGTCTTGAAACAGAAACTCGTCTGTCATTGGGTTTATCGTCAGTTTTAAGTTTCCTTCTTTCAATGACTCAGATATCTTAGAATAGTTTGAAAAGTTTGTTGTGTTCTTATTTAGAGCTTGCAAAATGAGTTGTCGGTTGTGTTGTATTTCTCTCATAGACGCTGTTTCTTTCGACATTTTTATTCTAGATAAAATATGCTTTCAATAGAAAAAGAAAATTCAAGAGTTGCTACAACTAAACCATTAGATGAACTTTTTACGAATGTCGGTCAAAAGTTTGAGACAGAGACCGTAAAGCATGAAGGCTATCGTTTTGACTACCCGTTAAGATGGCTAAGAGACCCATCCGTCACAAAAGCTATTGGCTTTCGTAGAATGAAGTTCATTTCAGAAGCCATACATGGTTTCCCATTTACGGTCGCTTTTGAAATTCGATACTATAACAAAGAGAAACGTACGTATGAGAAATTTGAACAGGGAAAACTTTTACAAGTGAATTTGCTTGTAAACTTAGAAACAACTCTTCAAGCTTTTCAGAAAAAATAAACGATATCTATCTCGAATATGCAAAACAGTACAACATTGACGAAGGAGAGTACCATCTCGATATTATATATGACAGGAAAAATGCAACTGTTAAATTCAATAAAATAGAAGACCTTGGAGAAAACGTTTATATTTCTACAAAATATAACAACTTGGCATGGCATAGATTTTTGAGGATGTTAAATCAGCCTGCATGGTATCCAGTACACCCGGACTATTATGAAGTCTCAAACCCTAATGGAACATATGAAAATGTTTCGACTCTGACGCTATTATAGTTCATGCTTCATTTTCTGGTGCACAAAACTCTTTTTTATGCTTGGCAAATGACTTTTACGAAAAACCTACAAAGCTATATGAACCACCGAGTGGAAGTATTTCAGACTTTCAAGTATGGTTTACAACAGATGGAAGAAAGAGAATAGTTCCATTATACCACGCGTTTTACTTAGAACTTAGTTTCATATACAACTACTATCGAACGGTAAAAATATAATTTTAATACGGTTGAGGTGTTGGATTTGGTTGCCAACTAGACTGTGGTGCAGGTTCAGGCTGTTGTATAACAGGAGCTTGTTCTTCTGGTTCAGGGTCTTTAGGTATAATACCAACGAACTGACCTACTCTTTTACCAATATTTTTGACTCCGTTCCAAATTCCTCTTCCTACGGTTTTTATTCCATTCCATATACCTCTTCCAACATTTCGAAAGAAGTTTCCAATACTACTGAAGAAACCCATTTTACTATATGTAAAAATCTAATGTCCACCTAGTCTCTTACGTTTCCTGTTGAGTTCCATTGCATTCTTTAACTGGAGCTCATACATTCTATTTCTCCTCTGGTAGAAAACATACTCTGGTCAACTCCTGTGTTCGCGTCATCTGCATAGAGTTGTTTATATCCCACTTCGGGGTTTGTATAAAACTCTTTCCATCTCATATTTGCATACCATGGTGGTAAGCCTAACGCAGCGTCATTTGACATGGCAGTTTGCATTTGTACATCTGTTGGCACTTGACCATAGTTTGCCATTGCAGTTTGTATTCTAACTTCATTTGGAATATTCTCTGGGTTTGGTTGTCCAGGTTGCTGTGCATTCGCTAAGTTCTGTGCGTCCATTTAATATTAGATAAAAATATCTCTTACGAGTACATATACTGGACATTTGCAGGCATTGGTTCATCTTCATATTCTCTATATCTTTCTGCCACGTCAAATAAGTAAATGACACAATGGAAAAAACCTAAAACAAGTAGTCCTATTTCAAACCACATTTACTTACCAATAAAATTTCTTTGTTATGACACTTTTTCCGGTTTATAGGACCTCTCTCATATTCTATCTTATCGTATCTAAACTCATAGTCATGTATGTCCTCTAACCATCTCATGACACTTTCCAAACCACTTTTATCGGATGTAAAGTAAAAGCATGGATGGTTATGTAAAACGTCTAAAGTTTCTAAAGAGTCTCTCAAAGTCCAGTCTACTTGGTATTGAAAAATCGTATGTGTTATAGAACGGCGGGTCCACTATAAAGAAAACATTTTCCTTGTTTTTATATTTTTCATACAACTCTGTCCAATGACATCTCACAAACTCTATACCCTCAGTATATTTTTCTATGTTCTCTTTGAAAACATTTGTATAGTTAAGATATAAAACGTTTGACATAAGTGTTTCAATGTCATGAACTCTTATAGAACCACTATACAATAGTCTAGAAGATATACTATCCCAGTCAATATACTCTGCTTTTTTCAAAACCTCTCTGACAATATTTTTCTTATCTAATGGTATACGTTCCATCTTACCTATAGGTATCTTTTCTTTTAACTCTTTCAATATTTTGTTTGTGTCTGGTATATGTTTGAGACGGTCCATATAGTTGTCGAAGTCATTGCATATAATCTTTGAGTCTGGGAATATTGTATGGCACAAATGGGATATATAGAAACTTCCACCGAACAAATCTACAAATGTTAGACCATTCGGTAGTTTCTTAAGTTCTCTCAATAGAATATCTTTACATCTACTCTTATTTCCAAAGAAGGGTAACGGTGGTTTTGTAAAATTCATTTATATATAATAATAAAAATGTTTTTTCCTGAAAAGTGACAGAAAAGCGGTTTTTGACAGATGTTTTATTGTGACTTCTTCGTAAAGACTTTGTTGAGATTTCTTCGTAAATGAGTGTAAATGACCCAAAAATATATTTTAGGGTAGAAGGGTATATCTAACCTCTTTTCTAACCTCTTTTCTACCCTCTTGAATTTTCATGAATTTCTTCGTAAATGTTTTGTCAAGACTTCTTCGTAAAGACTTTGTTGAGACTTCTTCGTAAAGACTTTGTTGAGACTTCTTCGTAAAGACTTTGTTGAGACTTCTTCGTAAATGACCCAAAAATATATTTTAGGGTAGAAGGGTATATCTAACCTCTTTTCTAACCTCTTTTCTACCCTCTTGAATTTTCATGAATTTCTTCGTAAAGACTTTGTTCAGACTTCTTCGTAAAGACTTTGTTGAGACTTCTTCGTAAAGACTTTGTTGAGACTTCTTCGTAAAGACTTTGTTGAGACTTCTTCGTAAAGACTTTGTCAAGACTTCATCGTAAAGACTTTGTTGAGATTTCTTCGTAAATGACCCTAGTAGTATATTTTTGGTGTAAATTTCATGAAAATTCAAGAGGGTAGAAAAGAGGTTAGAAAAGAGGTTAGATATACCCTTCTACCCTAAAATATATTTTTGGTGTAAATTTCATGAAAATTCATGAAAATTCAAGAGGTTAGAAATGAGGTTAGAAAAGAGGTTAGATATACCCTTCTACCCTAAAATATATTTTTGGTGTAAATTTCATGAAAATTCAAGAGGTTAGAAATGAGGTTAGAAAAGAGGTTAGATATACCCTTCTACCCTAAAATATATTTTTGGTGTAAATTTCATGAAAATTCATGAAAATTCAAGAGGTTAGAAATGAGGTTAGAAAAGAGGTTAGATATACCCTTCTACCCTAAAATATATTTTTGGTGTAAATTTCATGAAAATTCTGAGTAAAATGACAGATGTTTATATGACACTTTCTCCGGTTTATAGGACCTCTCTCATATTCTAAACATCCTCAGGGCTAGAAGGCACGAAGTGCCTGGAAGCCCCACTTCCTTTTTTTTATTGTCCTGCTTATCTAATGAGGTTCTAGAATATCATATTTTCACGAAAAGTGGATATTTTTAACAAAATTGGCAGTAGGGGCTTTTATTCGAGGCAGCGAAGTGGAACAGTTGGTTTAGTTTGTAAGACTCATAATCTTAAGGTCGCTGGTTCGAGTCCAGTCATCGCTCTTTTTGGTAATATAACAAAAAATAATTGTGAACTATCCAATGTCAAATTTTTCTATCCAAAATCATAATAAATTTCTTTGATTTGATATACAAATGGCGATTTTATCATGAATTTTTCTTCTCTAAGGAATTTGTTATATGGATAATAATTTTCTATCCTTTTTCGCAGGATTTCATGGTAGAGTTTCAAAACCACATGTTCCATTCATTCATAGTGATTCACCTTATAAAAAACCAAATAAACTAAATTACGAAAAAATAGAAATGAATTTTATTAAAACATAATACATAATAATAAAATAAAAACTAAATTACATAAAGAATTCTGCTGGAATAAAAACAGCAGAAGAATCTGTGAGAGCTATTAAGAAGTCTTTCCTTGCAAGACAAGACTTAATTGGGCCTCTAAAGTTGAAAGAAGTCTGGCAAATCTCAATCAAATTGTCAGAATAATTAATTTTTCTGAGAAATCCTTTGTTGTCAATAGAAACAACGAAATCTCTTCCTTTCGTGGAAACGCAAGCCAACTCTTGTATCTGGATATTAATCTTCATTCTGTGTATCAAGTTTCCACTGGGACTAATGAAAACAATCTCTTCAGAATTCGAACAAAAAACGAAACCAAAAATATCAGAAATCGCAATTTTTGTTGCAACGAAATCATCAATTTTCAATGAGAACAAAACAGTTCCATTTTGTTTGTAACAAATAATGAAATTGTCCAAAGTGCCAACAATCAATAATTTGTGTATTTTGCTGTAACAGAATGCCTGCAACTCATCAGCAAAACAAACAGTGAATCTGCCTTTGATATACAACAATCCGTTGTTTGAACAAATTATTTCATTTTCTACGAAAGAAGGATTGAAAATATATTTCCATTCTCTGTTTCCTGTGCTGTCCAATATGTAAAGAGACTGTTGCTGATTCCGGAAAATAGAAATGCCATCGTCAATTTGATAAATTCTGTCGTTTTTGGTCAAATTTATCAATTCTGCAAATTGGTATTTTTCAAAGGAAACGTTACTGTTAGATACGTTAACGGTTGCTTTTGACATTTCTGTGTTTTTGACACAGACGAAACTTATCTTGTTTTCATCCATTTTTTCAAGGAAAATTGAGTCAAAAGAAGTCCCGAAATTGTAAACTTCCAAATTTTTGACTTTGACGGTTTTGACATCGCGTAACGGATGTTTTTCTTTGAATAACTGGATTGGCATCTGTCCACCTTGTCTCAGGCCATCATTAATCATTTCCAGATTGTCAAGTTTCGAGAAAACTTGTTCCTGGAAGAGAATTCCATATTTTTTGGACATTTCACATCCGAAAACGTTGTCAATCCAATTTACAATTTTCTCTTCATCTTCAAGAGAAGAAATGTTTTTGAGAACGTAATCTATTTTGCCTTCAAAGTCAGGAATGACGTCAGGACAAAGGAAATATTCTGGAATTAACTCAGAAATGGAATCAGGAAATAAAATCACATCATTTATGTCACTTTTTGTCAAATTCTTTGTCAACAATTTTTTGACACAAAATGGGGGTAAAACAGCTCTATCTGAAGCAATGAAATCTGTTAGAGATTCATTAGAGAAATCTCTCTTTTGGTCCTTATGGAAAAACCATGGGAAAATAGGGTAAATCTGGAAATCATTGAAAGATCTTCCTGCAAACAAATTTATGTAAATCAGGTATTCATAAGTGCTCAAATTGTTTGAAATCCACTGTTTCGTGTATTTCTTGATTTCTCCTTTGTTCTTTCCTTTGAGTTCTTTCAAAACATTCTCGTTCGTCTGTGGCGAAAAATCTAAAAGATAACTTTGATTTTTCGTGAAAATTTCAATCGAATTCGGTTGCAAAAATCTTTTTCGCGGCAAAACAAAAATGATTTTTGACATTTTTATTGTTTTAACCGATGTCATTTTCACGATTTGAACAGAATCCTTGTATATCAATAATTTGGCTGGTTTCACACCAGAAATCTTGATCTGTTTGCAATCGGCTTTGTAAAGTGGCACTTTTTCTTCAGAAAATTCATTTTCAAGTTTATTTTCGAAAGAAAGAGTTTTTGTGAAGTAAGGAAATGTCAAGAATTTTGACATTGTATTTGATCTCTTTTGTACGATCTTATTATGACAGAAATTATTCCAAATTGAGAAACCATTTTGGAATTTTTTGATTAAGTTTCTTTCGATTTTTTGGCCACAACATTTCACTTGTTGTTTATTATGATTTATCCTTGAAATGTTTGTTGATTGTACCGATATCAACGTTGGATCAATGTCATAGTTCAAATCTAAATAATCCAAAAGAGAATTCTTAACAAAAACCATGTTATCTAAAGCAGTATTTTTCAAACTTTGAAGGAAATCATCACCTGTTTCTAGAATTTTTAAGTTCATCTTTTGATCTTCTTCTTTGTTGAGTAATTTCGTGAGGAAATCCAACCAAAGATCCATTAATTTGTTGTCTGTTTGTTTCTCTATAATTTTAAGAACTAAATCTTTGTTCAAAAAGTTCAATTCTCTTGTCAATCTCAACATAAATTGTGGAGATTTTATTGGTTCATTGAGAAACTCTTTCATTGAAATGAAATCAGTGAAATTCGGTTTTCCAAATTCTTCTGTTTTTGTTTCTCTTTTCTCAGTATTAAAACTGGAGAAATCAAAGATCAATTGCATGTAATTCGTGAAACAATTAATATTCGGATGATATAAAATAACAAACAAAAACACACAAGCTAATTTGTCATCGATATCATTAACATCAACCAAAAATTGTTTCAAGTACAAATCAATATTATAATTTCCAATATAACAAATCAATAAAATAGTATATAACAATGTTAAAAAGCCTTCAGAGTCTTCATCTTCTTTCTTGAACTGCAAAGTCAAATAAACATAAATTGATCCACGAGTTGTTGTATCATTTGTCGTGAAATATACTAATAATAATGGTAAAAACCAGAATTTGTCAGTAAAATTAACTTGATCAATTGATATTAATGTATTTGCGAATTCTGACATCTCTTCTTCACCTAAATAACTTGACATCCAACTCAAAAGAACAATTAAACTTGGATATCTCGTTAATTTCTTCAGAAGTTTTGAAAAAACGGTTTTATTGGCAAAACCTTCAAAAGTGACATTCATTGTTATAAATCTCAAGTATTCCATTGTTTTTTCGCCACCTATTTCGCACATTAACTTGACAATGAGTAAAAATCTTTTGTCGTTATTCGGCTTCAAAACTAAAAATAAAAAGTGACAAAAATCATTTGGAATTTGAATTTGATTCTTTCTTGTTAGATTCAACAAGAGTTTCAAGAGATCTAAGACTTGTGTTTTGTCTTTGCAAACTGTACAATGAGATATTATCAACAAATAATCCTTTTCAGTGAAGTTCAAGTTCAATATCAATGAATTCAGTTTCATTCGGCAAAATTCAACATCTAAATTCGGATCTCTTTGTTTGAAAATTAATTCTGATTCAATTGGTTCGTAATAGAAGTAGATTCTCATCTTAGGAATCAAATTAGAGATGTTAATGATCTTCTGATAATCAACTAATGAGCTCCAATATGAAACAATTTTTTGTAAACTTTGGGCATCAATTTTTGACCAAATTTCGAAATTGAAAATTATTTCTTCTAAAAATTTTTCAATCATTTCTGGATAATTCAAACTTGAAAAGAACAAAGTCAATTTGTAAAATATAGTATAAGATAAATCCGATTCATAAAGATAATTCGCAATCAAAGGAATGTATTTCATGAATGATTTTTCATTTTCTACTGAATGACAAACTAAAAGTGTCAAAATTTCAATCAAAACTTCTAAAAAGTGAATTGGCATCGTATTGATGAACTTAAAAAGAGGAATGAACAAAGAAATATTTCCACAATAAAGGAAAGAATCATAAATTGTCTTAGGAAAAGACATTCCGTTCAAAGTCACTTCACATTTGTCAAATTTTTCTTTTGAGAAAATTATTTTATCTTTGTATTCTCTGAAATTTTGATCCAAATTAATAATGCAGCCATAAATTTTGAGTTTTGAAATAGCGCAGAAGAAATCATTTTCTATTTCATTTTGGTCGAATGATTCATCACAAAATCCTCCCAATTCTAACATCAAATCATTAGAAATATAATTTGGAAAATTGATATTGTAATATTTCACTTTTTTGTTGTCAATAATTATACTTAAATTTACAATGTTTCCTTCCAAAAACGTAACATTACAAGCTATTTTATGCCATCTCTCGTGACTTAAAGAAGAACTTAATGTTGCAATTGACGATGACTTTGATTTGTACAAATATGTTCTGCACATCAAAGAATCACCTCTTATAAAAACTTGGAAATTAATTTCTTCATTGTCAGAAATTGAAAAAATCAAAGGACGAGAATTTGAAATAACACTTAAAGGACTATCATATCTGATCTTGAATTTAAATGTGAATCCATCAGCAATGTCCATCATCTTGAAATCATTGTAGATAACGTTTTGGCTTGGATTTCCACACATGAAATCAATTTTTGGTTCAGAAGAAATGACACTTAATGCGCTGTGTAATAAACTCAAAACTTCTTGTGAATATTTACAAAATTTGTTTTGTGAATCGGGAACTAATATATCTATTGCATAACTTGGTATTTGTACATTAGAAGAAGTAACAAATAATATATTAATCAATGGGAAAATTGTTTCTTTCACTGTTTCTTCGGAAACATCAAATTCAAATGTAAATCCTCTGAAAACAAACGGTTTTGACAAATTCTTCAAATAAGTTAGAAGTAATTTATCTAATGCGCCTTTGTGGCACATCTGGCAATTGTATATACAAAACTTACAAAGCTGTAAAAAGAAAGATAACATTTTTTCCAGTTCACTTTTTGAAGAAATTATTGAGAAAATCAACAAAATAACAGAAGGTTCATGAATAATGAAAAGAACATCTGCATTTCTAGATTTAGATTTCGCCATCATGTTCTGTAAAAGTGGCATTGTTTGGCTGTCATTTTTAATACCAATTTTCTTGATGACATCTGATAATTTGTGAATTGTATCTAAATCAAAAGAAAAGTCATTCAAATTTGTAAGCATCAATTGATACAAAGATAAAATGACATTTAACAATTCAACAGATGGTTTCGTTATCAAATAATTCAGAGCGTATTGAGGAATATCTCTAAACACTGTAGTTATAAACTTGGAATGAGTTATTGATTCATTAATCGACTTCAACAAATCCAATGTCAATCTATCATCTTCTGTTTGTAACATTCTGTTTTTATCAATAATTCCACAAATAAATTCTGAAACAGGTTGTAAAAGTGAAATGTTTTCATCAGCAAAATTTGACAAAAACTGTCTTAAAGATATAACTAAAGATGCTTGAATAGAAATCTCTGTAATTCGAGAAAGAAAACCAATTAAAAATACATGTGAAGTGAAACAATGTAAAGCTATCGTCTGATTATCTAACATTGCGAAAATAAAGATAATAATTGTTGATCTCGCCTCGTGTATTGTACATTCAATATCTTTTCTGTCTACCAGCATTTTCGTGAGATTCGATAAAACTTCAATTATACAACTCAATGTCATTTCATCACATAATGTCAATAAATCAAATCTTGAAAGTTTTGCATGAATTCGACCAAGTGTTTCAGCAAATAAAAATGGATTCTGTTTCAACGATATCAGTAGATCTTTTATGAGTTTCGGGAAATTAGTTGATATTACTTGTAAAACACTTTGTCTCAAAAAAGTGACAATTGAAAAGTTTGTGTCACTTTTATTGTAAATACTTATACCAGGTGTCCAAACTTTTTTTGTTAGGAGTGATTGAACAATACGATTATTAGGAGCAACGTTCTGAACTTTCGACAAAATGTAAAGATAAATAACGTAATAATATATTTCGAATTCAGAAGGTTGAATAAAACAACCAGAAAAAGCAATGAAAAAGTCATTTGTATATTCATGGAGACAACACATCAATGTTGAAGTGATCTTTGATATCAAACTTAAATCTCGTTGTGTTATTATGTTCTCGAAATCAAAATTTAACTCAAACTCTTCACTGGAAGATGGTGTAAGTTTTGTTGGAAGGTTTGATGTATCAAATAAAGACATTTCTAGTTGCATTCCTGGTTTTGAATTGTCAGCATCACTTAAATTGTTTGTTTTTATCTTCCAGACATCGATTTTCTTGGAATCATCAAGTTTCGTCTGCATGTAAATTGGTAGTTTAATAAACAAGTTCTCGAGGTTTTCATCAACTTTAAATGACGATAGAGTTGTCAGAAAATTCAAAGATTCTGTTGTCAAATCTTTCAAGTAGTATTCGATGTATTTGGAGATTCTTGAGAAGTCTTCTTTAGCAATATCGTCTGAGTTGTTGCTGATGCTTGCAAGAAGAAAGTTTTGAAGGAAGATTTCTTCATTTTTGATGTCACTTTTTGATAAATTAATGAGATTAAGTAAAACTTCAGTTGCTGCGTTAAAACCGTATAAAGAAACTCTGTCAAAGATAGGACCGATGTAGTCTGTTGGGAACAATCTCCTGCTGAATCTAGCAAACACTTCTGTGATTCCGAAAACGAGAAATTCGTATTCAATTTTTGTCAAAAATTTTTTCAATCGAAAATTTAGTTCTAAAAGCATTTCGTATTGATCTTGTATTTGATTTAAGTCGCTAGCATAGATAAACATGATCGAATGCATCGCTATTAGTACTGAGATTTTAGGAAGTTGAACTAATTGATCTGGCATTAAATCTAATTTTGTGATTTCGCTGATGAAAAATCGATTATAGTACAAACTTCGCTTTGTTAAAAGCCTTTTAATCAAATTTATGTCTGAGTACTGTTCTAATTCTTGAATATCTTCGCGAAAGATTGGAGGGAGTGAAAATTTATTGTAAATTTCCTCAATACTAGGATCGTTTTTTGTTTGCTTGATGAATGGCTTGAATCGCCTGAGCAGAGAGAGAATAGATTCGAGTTTAGACTCACTTATCATTCCTCTGCTAGGTTCATGTCAGTTTTTCCAACTCAAATTTCGAACTTCCATTGAAGTGATTGGAACTATAGATTGACAATGTTTCTTTAAATTGAATAATTTTCAAGCGTCAATCATCCGAAAATCTTCGTTCATTTCCATAAATCGGATTTAGATCGTGGATTTGGACAGCCAATTAACATAGACTTTGGAAACACATGTGCTGATTATTAATGTGGAAACAGCGTTTAAGCTATTTTCGTTAATTGTTCTGTAAGAAAGTTATCATGACGGGTAAAATTTGCTCTTATGCAATGAAAACTGTAAATTTCGTATGACCGTAAGGTAGAAAAACTAAATATTGATTTAAATATAATAAATTTTATTAAATACAATATCCTGATATAAATTATTCTTTTTTGCTCTCTTCTTCCTCATTACCATCATCATTTCCTTGTTTATCTTCCTCTTCATCAGAATCTATTTCCATTGCCATAACTTTATTCATCCAATCAGGATCATCTTTTATATCATCGTAAGTTAACTTCTGAACGTTAGTTGTAACTGTTTTTTCTTCTGGATCGTCAAATCCAAAGTCCATATCTCCGGAAGAAACATCTTCAGCGGGTTGATCTTCCAAATCTTCATTTCCATTTGTTGGGCATGGAATACCTTGGATAGAATACAAAGATTCTTCGATACGAGCATATTGAATAAAACATTCAAATAGCCATTTCAAATAAATTATATAAACACCTCTGTATTCCATTGCTTTTTGGATCTGATCATCTGTGCCTCCTTCTCCTACTATTATATGTGTCGTATATGGAGTAAAAGAGTCAACAACTAATGCTCCAAATTCTTCAGCTAAACGAGTAAACGTCATAGTGTCATCTTCGGATAAACCAGAGAAATAAAATGTCTTTCCTTCAAAAACTTGTGCTTTTCTCTGATGTAAAGTCATAATTACATGAGATTCTTCTGGATCATAATTCTTGTAGAACATATCATGTACATCTATCAGAACCGAGCGCATTTGGATTAAAATATCATCATTAACATAGTCAGGATTGACTGTTGGAGGAGAATTTGGTCCTTGTCTAGTGAAATAAGAGTATCTTTTAATTTGTACAAGGCCTTTGAATAATTTGTTATTATCACAGAACCATACTTCAGGAGAATCATCAAGAACTAAGACTAATTTGTCTGAATAAGGGAAAATCTTCTTGATATTCTTTTTATTAACTATATCAGTTTGGTTACGCATTGCTTCTTTGATCATGGCAAAATCTTCAGCTGTACGAGAAAAAATTCGATTCTTAAATAATTTATCCTCTGGATCGATTTTGCTTAAAATGGCATGAGCATATGCTGGAGAAGCTAATGTATATATCTGCATATCGAAGTATGGAGCGATAGATGCTAAAAATTGCCTAACATGAGGACGGTAGCGAATTAAAAGGTTCTGATTCATATTAAATTCAAAGAAATCATCTTCTGTTGCTGCAGGATCTAATTTTTTGATGGCATCTACCTCAGCTCGATTCCGAACTTCTGTTGTATCAATTAATGTTTTGTCTAAATCAATAACCAATGATAATTTCTTGGCATCTATAAGTCTTTGCTCTTCTTCAAGATTCTTTCGCTTTGCTTCTTCAAAAGATATCATAACAATCGAATTATTTGGATCTGCGCGAACATAATTAGTATCTAATAGTTTCTGATCAATTTGCGAGCTACAAGTCGTGCAAATTCCGTTGATAACAACTGGATGGGAGCATTGATTGTTTGACATATTTTTCAAATTTTTATTTTTTTATGAATTATCTCAGGTCAGTGTACTGAAAAAATAAGTGAACTTTACATGAGCTTAGTCGAATAAGATGCATATGGATATATTTTCGATTTTTGCACTATATTTTATTTGCTTTCAGACTTCTCAATGATGATTCATCAAGATGGTTTTCAAATCTCTTCTAACATTTAAAACCTTATGGATAAGTATCTTATGTGGTTTTATAAGATCTGATTGAGATTGAAATATACATACGCTGATTGATTTTCGAATTAATAATTGTTTGAATAAAATCAACGCTTCTGATATATCACATTTGATTTGTATTGAAATTTTGAGGTTATCCCTAAGCCATTATAGGAATTCATTCATTTTTTAATAAATTTTGAATTAAATCTAAGCCAAGCGATAACAGGAAGTTAATCAATGAAATTTAATGCTGGATAAAGATTATTTGCAATGTATAATTGGTGTCTGTGACATAAATAATTTAATGTAAAATTATCTTTATAACATCATCTAGATTTGCAACTATTTCTAGAATATTTGCAGTTAATTTATGTCGATGGCCAGACAATATTCAGAAGTTCGACCAAAACATCCGATGAAGAAAAAATTGCTAAGAAAAACAAATTTCATATGGTAAAAAACATAATCTTTAAGAACACAAAGAAAAAATTCATTAGTTACTAGTATAAAACGGATCATAATCATCCTTCATGAAATTCTGGTAAGGAGGCTTTAACTGAAAGCTCATGGTCGTATTTGTTGAACTCCTCCTTTGTGACGACGATTGTAAATCCAAGTAAAAACAAAAACTCTAACTCTAAAACATTCAATTCCTCTAATCTGATGCCTCCTATCGTGGCCCATGTAATATTATTATAGTACATATCTGTTGTGAACTTCGATGCAGTTAAAAGGCTACACAAAAACAACTTATGAACAGTGTTTGGCGTAATCTTGATCTGAGGCTGCTGAATTAGCAATCTATCCAATAAAATGAGAGCAACTATGAATACTGATCGAGGACAATTGCCATTTGTATGTAGATACCCGAGATATTTGAGGATAGGAATTTTGGGTGGACTTAATGTATGAAATCTAGATAGTGTCACGTCTCTCCCAATAAGCAATTTATTCTGGGATGCTGCTTCTTGCAGTGTAAAAGCAATCACGCGAAGAGTTGGGAGAATATTATCATCGGCTTCTTTTCCCATCTTCCACGTGTGATGCCCCCTCAAAATCCGGTGTGCCCACAATTTAATGCTAGCGATTTATCTCTTATCAAAGATACGAAATTTTTATTATGCTGTTGAATTGCTTTAAATATATGGTGTGATTTATGGTTGAAAATCGAACGATTACAAGTATAAATTTAAAAATGCTTTTTGTGAATGTTTTCATATTATACTCAGTATAGCAATACGATTGGTCTGTTAAAATCAAAACTCTGTTCGCAATATTTACTCAATTTTTTCGGACTTAATAAATATGATTTATAATCAATAATATGGATAGTATTGTTCTATGAACAGCGGAGGGTATGATTTATGAATTCCGATTATAAATTTTGCAAATTAGCTCAGACTTTTCAGAGGATTGAGTGGCAACTCAATCCTCTGAAATAGTCTGTGGTAATTTTTAGTCTCTACACTCTTTCAATATAAGCTCCATTTTTAAACAGTTTTTAAAAATCGAGCATTGAAAAGTGTGATGAGACTTAAAAATTAAAAATGATCGGAGGTGGATGTATATAAGGTAGTCACAAAATCTAAGTAGTGAGGCTCTCAAAAATTGAACCGTACTCCATACAAAATTTGTGTACCTTCACTACTTAGATTTTGTGGCCTTCAATTGAGAGGTTAGTTTTGATAGAGCACGTTATAAAATTAAAAGGGAAAAATAAATAAAATTTAAACATTTAATTATATATAATGTAAGGAGTGTAATTCGAAATTTTCTAAAAACTATTCAAATTTGAGCAGTTTTTGGAAATAGTAAATCTAATATGTACATCTAATACCAACATGATTCATCACCTTTTCAAGCTCTGCAGTCAATTTTTTGAAATTTGATTGAAATAAATGTAGCAAAAATTACATTTCATTAGGGAATATATGAGTTTCTATTGAAAAAGGCTGATAAATTTTAAATTTTGTCCAATCAACATGAATGCATTGAGAAATTTGGATTGATTTTCTGGTAGAATCTGGAACAATTCAACCATGTATAAATGGATCATGTACTCATCATGAAATGTTAGTGTTAGAGTTCAAAAGAAACAGAATGAATGGAAATCAAACACAATCTGAATAATTTTAAACGTATACAATCTTTAAGTTTGTATTTTGAATTCTACATATATGATTGTGTAATTCGTTCTTTCAAATTTTCGGATTCAGGCATGTTTTGCTAAAATTCATTCCCAAAAACGTCAATTAACAATTAAATTTAGTGTATTTTAAATAGCTATACGTATTATATTTTATAAATTATATTAAATTCGCAAAATTTTAAGTTTTAAACAAAAATAAAAAATGTTCAAAATATGAAATTATGCATAGGATATTAAAATTTACATGTTAGCAATTTTTTTGAATTGCTTTCAATTTTCATATTGAAATTTTTAAGATTTTTTTCTGAAATAATAAGCAAGAATATCAACCTAAATAATATTAAATTCCATGCGTTAATTTCCCCTCAAAAGTCATTGACTGCCTCTCAATCTAGATTTTGTGAGTACTTTAGGAAAATATATTGAATTTTCTAGATTTCAATTCAAAGGAAAATAACATGTTATTTTTGTTATAGACCGAAAATAGATTTTTTCGGTTTTCTCTTCAAATAATTGAAAGAATGATACTATTATAGGTTTATTATATTATATAGCATATAATCATGCTATAGCCGAAAATTATATGTTTTGAGAAGATTGAATATAACACAAATAAATTTGAATGTAAGTTAAATTGCTTGTTGTTTTTAATAGCTATTTAATGAGAAATCCAATATTGCAAAATTCAAATTGAATGATTGAAAGAACAGAAAAAGTCATTCTTTTCAATTTCGAATATGTTTCATTGTATTTATAATTATATGGCAAATAAGATATTTAAACTTGATTTTTGAAGGAAAATTCACAAAATTGAATAAATTCAAATAATTTTTATTCAAAAATAAACTAGTTATTTGAGTTTAATACTAATTATCCATTCAAACTACAAAGTTTGTAATTTAAAATATTTTGTGAGATCAGATTGAATTAATTCAAGGTTCTTTTCAATTAATATTAATGACCATATTACGCATTTTCGAACATTCTAAACCAAATATATAAAAATGGGAGACGAATGTTAAATTTGCTAGACATAGGGGAGTTGTCTGCAAAGTTTTAGCTCTTATCTCTAACAAAAAATTAATTTTTAAAAAAATGACCGAATACGTTTCACAGCGAGAAAAAAATAAAAGGCAAGATAGAATTTTCTAGACATAAAGAAGTTGTTTACCGAGTTTTAGCTCTTATCTCTAACAAAAAATTAATTTTTAAAAAAAAGACCGAATACGTTTCACAGCGAGAAAAAAATAAAAGGCAAGATAGAATTTTCTAGACATAAAGAAGTTGTCTACCAAGTGTCAGCTGTTACTTCTTCTCAATACTGATATAAAATAAAAATCTTTATTATTTATTTAACCTTTATTGTTTCATTAAACTTCATTTATTTTATATTATAGTTTTATTCTTTTAGCTACTTGTAAAATAATCTAATTTTATATCATCATTTTACCGGATTATTCTTCAGTACATCGATTGTGTATCTAAAATAATATCATTATCCTTATTCTGTTTTTTCCAAAATTCTTTTAAATATCTTTTTTGGTTAGATTACTTTATACTTTTTACTTTTATTTTTTAATTTCAAAAAAAAATTTGGTGATTGTTCTATTCTGTTACAATGTGCATTATCATATTCTAATGAATTATTCATTACATACATTTAAAAAAACTTGTTAAAAATGAAATTAAAAAAATTATGTTTATTATTACGCTGTGAATGTGTCAATAGCGGTCATGCCTGTATCTGTATCCCATATTTGCCACAACCTTTCTGTATCTGCATTTGTGTATTTCGGTTTCAGCTGATACATTTGATTTGGCGTGTAATTTGTTCCAGTTAATGGATTAATTGGGAGATCTTCATGCGGTGTGTTATTATTGTACTCCCAAATAAAGGCAGGAATAGCCTGAATGCTTTGGCAGCGCTCCAATGTCGGCCAGAATCTCTCAATCTTCCCATTTTGGTAGGGAGAATGAGAGTCTGTATGCCGCCATTGGACGCCCCAAAGATCAAGTAGATCTTGAAAGGCTCCCCTATTTTCTGAACCGTTGTCGGTCCAGAAACAATAAGGGGCGCCAAATTCAATGAAGGCGGAAGCCGCAAAGTTCGCTGTCGTCGCTGCCAGCATATCTGGTATTTGTATACACGCTAGGACTTTGCGGCTAAAATCGTCGATTATGCCATAAATATACTGGCCACGAACACCCCTAAAATAATGAACATCTGCGTGCCAGATAAGATTGGGTGAAAGCGCCCAATATCTTACTGCTGTTTCTGGCCCGGCATGCTCTAATCGCGTCTTGGTGAAATGATTTTCTTTGAAGTATCTGCGTACTTCTCTATAAGATACATCAATTTGTTGTAATTTCAAACGTTTCCATTGTTTTGTTTGACCACAGGGAAAGGCCCAGTGGTCATGTATCACAGCAAGAGCTTTGATTTGGTCGTAGGGCTTGACCCTACGACCTTTCTTGCCTTTAGGCAATGGGATATTCTGTAAGCTAAATTGATTTTGTAAAAAATTTTGAAACATCTAAATATTTGAAATCATTTGATTGAAGGGTTGGGGCGATGGGAACATGGGTGCAAGCTTCTTCCCATGTCATTTTACCTTTTTCAATCTGATTGGAAATACCAATTAGGTAAATTCGATCGACATACCCTTTGTAAGGATTCATTCTAATGAAGTACGTTAACAATCAAAATATTCTATAAGTGTGTAGTATGGAATTCAAAAGAATAAAGAAAATGGTAACGTAAATAAACGTATTATGAAAAAATTTATAATTAAAATGAAAAAAATAAAAAAAAAATAAGTAAAGTGACTGGAAATGAAAATTAAAATCAGTGTAAAGTTTTATTTTTTTCTCGCTGTGAAACGTATTCGGTCATTTTTTTAAAAATTAATTTTTTGTTAGAGATAAGAGCTAAAACTCGGTAAACAACTTCTTTATGTCTAGAAAATTCTATCTTGCCTTTTATTTTTTTCTCGCTGTGAAACGTATTCGGTCTTTTTTTTAAAAATTAATTTTTTGTTAGAGATAAGAGCTAAAACTCGGTAAACAACTTCTTTATGTCTAGAAAATTCTATCTTGCCTTTTATTTTTTCTCGCTGTGAAACGTATTCGGTCTTTTTTTTAAAAATTAATTTTTTGTTAGAGATAAGAGCTAAAACTCGGTAAACAACTTCTTTATGTCTAGAAAATTCTATCTTGCCTTTTATTTTTTTCTCGCTGTGAAACGTATTCGGTCTTTTTTTTAAAAATTAATTTTTTGTTAGAGATAAGAGCTAAAACTCGGTAAACAACTTCTTTATGTCTAGAAAATTCTATCTTGCCTTTTATTTTTTCTCGCTGTGAAACGTATTCGGTCTTTTTTTTAAAAATTAATTTTTTGTTAGAGATAAGAGCTAAAACTCGGTAAACAACTTCTTTATGTCTAGAAAATTCTATCTTGCCTTTTATTTTTTTCTCGCTGTGAAACGTATTCGGTCTTTTTTTTAAAAATTAATTTTTTGTTAGAGATAAGAGCTAAAACTCGGTAAACAACTTCTTTATGTCTAGAAAATTCTATCTTGCCTTTTATTTTTTTCTCGCTGTGAAACGTATTCGGTCATTTTTTTAAAAATTAATTTTTTGTTAGAGATAAGAGCTAAAACTTTGCAGACAACTCCCCTATGTCTAGAAAATTCTATCTTGCCTTTTATTTTTTCTCGCTGTGAAACGTATTCGGTCTTTTTTTTAAAAATTAATTTTTTGTTAGAGATAAGAGCTAAAACTCGGTAAACAACTTCTTTATGTCTAGAAAATTCTATCTTGCCTTTTATTTTTTTCTCGCTGTGAAACGTATTCGGTCTTTTTTTTAAAAATTAATTTTTTGTTAGAGATAAGAGCTAAAACTCGGTAAACAACTTCTTTATGTCTAGAAAATTCTATCTTGCCTTTTATTTTTTTCTCGCTGTGAAACGTATTCGGTCTTTTTTTTAAAAATTAATTTTTTGTTAGAGATAAGAGCTAAAACTCGGTAAACAACTTCTTTATGTCTAGAAAATTCTATCTTGCCTTTTATTTTTTCTCGCTGTGAAACGTATTCGGTCTTTTTTTTAAAAATTAATTTTTTGTTAGAGATAAGAGCTAAAACTCGGTAAACAACTTCTTTATGTCTAGAAAATTCTATCTTGCCTTTTATTTTTTTCTCGCTGTGAAACGTATTCGGTCTTTTTTTTAAAAATTAATTTTTTGTTAGAGATAAGAGCTAAAACTCGGTAAACAACTTCTTTATGTCTAGAAAATTCTATCTTGCCTTTTATTTTTTTCTCGCTGTGAAACGTATTCGGTCATTTTTTTAAAAATTAATTTTTTGTTAGAGATAAGAGCTAAAACTTTGCAGACAACTCCCCTATGTCTAGCAAATTTAACATTCGTCTCCATTTTTATATATTTGGTTTAGAATGTTCGAAAATGCGTAATATGGTCATTAATATTAATTGAAAAGAACCTTGAATTAATTCAATCTGATCTCACAAAATATTTTAAATTACAAACTTTGTAGTTTGAATGGATAATTAGTATTAAACTCAAATAACTAGTTTATTTTTGAATAAAAATTATTTGAATTTATTCAATTTTGTGAATTTTCCTTCAAAAATCAAGTTTAAATATCTTATTTGCCATATAATTATAAATACAATGAAACATATTCGAAATTGAAAAGAATGACTTTTTCTGTTCTTTCAATCATTCAATTTGAATTTTGCAATATTGGATTTCTCATTAAATAGCTATTAAAAACAACAAGCAATTTAACTTACATTCAAATTTATTTGTGTTATATTCAATCTTCTCAAAACATATAATTTTCGGCTATAGCATGATTATATGCTATATAATATAATAAACCTATAATAGTATCATTCTTTCAATTATTTGAAGAGAAAACCGAAAAAATCTATTTTCGGTCTATAACAAAAATAACATGTTGTCATCCATCTTATTGTAGAATGATGCGTTCAGAGATAATTTATATATTGATATTAAACATAAAACAAATGAAAAAATTAAATTAATACATCCAATTTCGTTCAGCGGTTATGATATGTTGTTTTCATCCACAGGATCTGGGTTCGACTCCCCGTATCCGAAAACTTTTTTTCTTTACGATACCTATGTATAAAATTATTGTATCAAATGAATTAGAGTTTGAAGATTACAATCATAATTTTAGAGACAGTATTGAATCTGTTGTCCAAGACAAGGCAACACCACTCGATGTTGCTCTTACATTTGTTGAGAATATTAACCGTGCTTCTCAGTAAAAACTTTAAATCAATTTTTTATATAATTCTTTTATGAAAACTCTTTATTTTGTCTTGTTTGAAATAAGGATTTCTGCCGTTTGTTTGTTATTATAACGAGTTGCTAGATGAAGAGGGGTAGATCCACATGTGTCTTTAACATTGATATCTGCACTATTAAAAATAAGTTGGGATTTTTGAACATATACTTCATTAATGTCTCTTCTAAAGTAAAAAAAAAAAAAAAAAAAAAAAAAAAAAAAAAGGCAGTGGGGCTTCCAGGGCTGCGCCCCTCTAGCCCCTGAAGATGTTTAGTATAAATGAAGTTCTTATATACGGGTCTTCCAGGAGCTTTTCACAAAATATATATGTTTTCATGTTTTGTCACTTTTCTGTCACTTTTTCAGGTAAAAACATTTTTATTATATATATAAAATGAATTTTACAAAACCACCGCTACCCTTCTTTGGAAATAAGAGTAGATGTAAAGATATTCTATTGAGAGAACTTAAGAAACTACCGAATGGTCTAACATTTGTAGACTTGTTCGGTGGAAGTTTCTATATATCTCATTTATGTCATACAATATTCCCAGACTCAAAGATTATATGCAATGACTTCGACAACTATATGAACCGTCTCAAACATATACCAGACACTAACAAAATATTGAAAGAGTTAAAAGAAAAGATACCTATAGGTAAGATGGAACGTATACCATTAGATAAGAAAAATATTGTGAGAGAGGTTTTGAAAAAGCAGAATATATTGACTGGGATAGTATATCTGCTAGACTATTATATAGTGGTGCTATAAGAGTTCATGACATTGAAACACTTATGTCAAAAGTTTTATATCTTAACTATACAAATGTTTTCAAAGAGACATAGAAAAATATATTGAGGGTATAGAGTTTTGTGAGATGTCATTGGACAGATTTGTATGAAAAATATAAGACAAGGAAAATGTTTTCTTTATAGTGGACCCGCCGTTCTATAACACATGGGATTTTCAATACCAAGTAGACTGGACTTTGAGAGACTCTTTAGAAACTTTAGACGTTTTACATAACCATCCATGCTTTTACTTTACATCCGATAAAAGTGGTTTGGAAAGTGTCATGAGATGGTTAGAGGACATACATGACTATGAGTTTAGATACGATAAGATAGAATATGAGAGAGGTCCTATAAACTGGAGAAAGTGTCATAACAAAGAAATTTTATTGGTAAGTAAATGTGGTTTGAAATAGGACTACTTGTTTTAGGTTTTTTCCATTGTGTCATTTACTTATTTGACGTGGCAGAAAGATATAGAGAATATGAAGATGAACCAATGCCTGCAAATGTCCAGTATATGTACTCGTAAGAGATATTTTTATCTAATATTAAATGGACGCACAGAACTTAGCGAATGCACAGCAACCTGGACAACCAAACCCAGAGAATATTCCAAATGAAGTTAGAATACAAACTGCAATGGCAAACTATGGTCAAGTGCCAACAGATGTACAAATGCAAACTGCATGTCAAATGACGCTGCGTTAGGTTTGCCACCATGGTATGCAAATATGAGATGGAAAGAGTTTTATACAAACCCTGAAGTGGGATATAAACAACTTTATGCAGATGACGCGAACACAGGAGTTGACCCAGAATATGTTTTCTACCAGAGGAGAAACAGAATGTATGAGCTCCAGTTAAAGAATGCTATGGAACTCAACAGGAAACGTAAGAGACTAGGCGGACATTAGATTTTTACATATAGTAAAATGGGTTTCTTCAAGTATTGGAAACTTCTTCAGAAGAGTTGGAAGAGGTATATGGAATGGAATAAAATCTGTCGGAAGAGGAATTTGGAACGGAGTCAAAAATATTGGTAAAAGAGTAGGTCAGTTCGTTGGTATTATACCTAAAGACCCTGAACCAGAAGAACAAGCTCCTGTTATACAACAGCCTGAACCTGCACCACAGTCAAGTTGGCAACCAAATCCAACACCTCAACCGTATTAAAAAATTATATTTTTACCGTTCGATAGTAGTTGTATATGAAACTAAGTTCTAAGTAAAACGCGTGGTATAATGGAATTATTCTCTTTCTTCCATCTGTAGTAAACCATACTTGAAAGTCTGAAATACTTCCACTTGGTGGTTCATATAGCTTTGTAGGTTTTTCGTAAAAGTCATTTGCCAAGCATAAAAAAGAGTTTTGTGCGCCAGAAAATGAAGCATGAACTATAATAGCATCTGAGTCGAAAACATTTTCATATGTTCCATTAGGGTTTTCGACTTCATAAAAGTTCGGGTGTACTGGATATTCTGCAGGCTGATTTAACATCCTCAAAAATCTATACCATGCCAAGTTGTTATATTTTGTAGAAATATAAACGTTGTCTCCAAGGTCTTCTATTCTATTGATTTTAACAGTTGCATTTTTCCTGTCATAAATAATATCGAGATGGTACTCTCCCTCGTCAATGTTATACTGGTTTGCATATTCGATATAGATATCGTTTATTTTTTCTTGAAAAGCTTGAAGAGTTGTTTCTAAGTTTACAAGCAAACTAACTTGTAAAAGTTTTCCCTGTTCAAATTTCTCATACATACGTTTTTCTTTGTTATAGTATCGAACTTCAAAACCGACCGTAAATGGGAAACCATGTATGGCTTCTGAAATGAACTTCATTCTACGAAAGCCAATAGCTTTTGTGACAGATGGGTCTCTTAACCATCTTAACGGGTAGTCAAAACGATAGCCTTCATGCTTTACGGTCTCTGTCTCAAACTTTTGACCGACATTGGTAAAAAGTTCATCTAATGGTTTAGTTGTAGCAACTCTAGAATTTTCTTTTTCTATTGAAAGCATATTTTATCTAGAATAAAAATGTCAAATGAAACAGCGTCTATGAGAGAAATACAACACAACCGACAACTCATTATACAAGCTCTAAATAAGAACACACAAACTTTTCAAACTATTCTAAGATATCTGAGTCATTGAAAGAAGGAAACTTAAAACTGACATTAACCCAATGACAGACGAGTTTCTATTTCAAGACAGTAAGAACCATACTGTTTGTATAAATCCAACAAAAAGAACTTTAAACGAGAAACCTATAGATGAACTTCTTTTGAAGGCAGATATTGACAACAAAGCTGACAAAGAGTATGTAGATGCAACAAGAGACTATATTCTCGCATGGACAGATAGAACATACCCACAAAAACACCATACACATAACATCTATGACGTAGATGAACTACCAGCAATGTTAGATGACAAAGCGGATAAAACATATGTTGACAATAAAATGTCAAGTGAAGTGACAAGAGCTGACAAAGAATATTCTAAAAAGACTCATACACACGATTTCTTCGCAACTGTTGGTATAGAAAATATTGCAGGAACGGTTGAAGAACCTGATGGAACTGGTGGGGATGTACTACTTTGGAAACCTCCTAACTTTCCACAAGGTTTAACATCGGATGAAGACATAACGACGATGAAATACACTAGATGTAGAAATGTCTATGTCATGGAGGATGAAAACAAAGTTAAATTCACTGCTCAAGATTTATATGACAACAAAGCTGACAAAACATATGTTAACGTTGAGTTAGATAAAAAAGCTGACAAAACATATGTTAACGATGAGTTAGTTAAAAAAGCTGACAAAACAGAGCTTCAAACGTTAAAGACAGAAATACTTCAAACAGTATATCCTATAGGTTCTATTTACACGTCAATGAACTCTACCAGACCAGAAGTAGTACTTGGTTTTGGAACTTGGACTCAAATAGTCGACAGGTTTTTGTATTGTGCAAACTCTTCAAAGGAAACAGGTGGAAGTAAAACGATTTCAGGTGAAAACTTACCTGCACACAGTCACTACATAGATTTAAGTACAGCTGAAGCAGGTTGGCATAAACATAGATTTTGGGATTGGTCAGCAATGAAAAAGGTAAAGGATATGATGTTTAAAGACAACGTTCAGTTTGCTATAAATTGTTTCTGGGGTAACACACAGGGAGAAGGAAACCATACACATCGCGTTTCAGGGTATACGCAAACAACGGGACAAAGTAAAGACTACATGCCACCTTACATGACAGTTTACGCATGGTATAGAAATGCTTAGTCGTCATTTTCAACTTCTTTAGCATATTCGTCAGGAGTTGTCTTATATTTGTTAGGAACTGTCTTTGAAAGTATACCACCTTGAACTTTGACAAGTTTGAAACGAGGTCTGACATAGTAGTTTTATCTTCTGCTTGCAGTCTGTACATTTTGCCATGTTTGCCTAAAACTTCATAATATTCCTTGTATACTTTCTTCTATTTTTACGAACACGAATGTGAGTACCTGTCGAGTTCCCATTGTTGTCATAGTCAATAGTATTTTCATATGGGTCGCGTTTAGGTATTTCTATTTTTACTTTGTCACCTTTCTGAAGTTTGAAGCCTGGCATTCTTTCTTGTTTGTCTCTTTTGACTAAACTATTAAATATATAGTCTTTCTCTAAGTCGGGGTTGTTTTTCATTTCTTCGGGGGAGTGGTTTCCCCAAACCTTTTTGTTTACGGCTATTGTAAATATTTAAAACTTGTCTCATCTTTGCCATGGAGAAATGTCTATATTTGTCGTCATATGACATTTCATTTGCTTCACCACCTTGTGGTTGATTTAAGTCTCTTAAGATTTTTATACAACTGTCAATGACACCAAGAGCAGAATGGTTTTGGTCGACAATGAAATATTGGTTTACATTTTTTGAACGCAGATAGTTTTTAATATCGTCTGATTTGAAAGAACTTTCACAGTCAGATGTCAGTTTTGTTGGATGGTATTTGTCAACAAATATTGTCAAAGCTGCTAAGATATCTAAAATATTTTTGGACTGTAATGGTATGGCTTCACAGTATCTTGTGTTTTGACCAACAAATATTAGCCAGTATGGTGGTCCATCTTCTCTATACCTCGGAATGTTTTCCAAGATATCCATAAACCAAGCATTTGGTGTTGAACTAAAGATTTTTATCATGAGTGCTTTCTTTGTCGCTTTAGAAACATAGGGGTCCTTGTTTGAATTCGTCATTTTTAACCCATAAGAAATGGGTTTATTTGGCGCATTAGCAGGAGTTGCATCCAGATTTTTACCCGCAGTGGGAACAATAGCTAGAGGTGCATTTGGAATTGGAAGGAAGATTTTGAGTACATTAGGTATACTGAAAGAGAAAGCGCAACCTATTATACAAACCGTACAGAAAGGTTGGGAGGTAGCACGAGATGCAGCAAATCTTATTCCAAATCCTGAAACAAGAGGAAAAGTTCAAGGATGGATGGACAATGTAGGAAGAGAAGCAGGAAACTACTATAACAAAGCAAATGACTACTATAACCAAGCAGGACACTATATGGACCAAGGTGAAAGATTCTTTAACAGAGGATATAACCATGCACAACAGTGGGTAAACAATAACCAACCGCAACCGCCTCAAACGTGGGGAATGTAAAGTTTTTTACTGAGATGAAATGAACAATACAGCATTGAGACAAATGGGTTCAAGATGGATTTGTCGGCTTCCAGCAGTTACACAACCACGTGTTTGTCAAGTTCTTCCTATACCTCAAGAAGTTTTAGACCGACTTAAAAAACCTAAACAACCAGTTGAAAACAAACCAAACTAAAATTTTTTACTGAGATGAAATGACGAAGAAGTTGAAACGGTAGATTTGACACCACAAACAAAAAGTTCAGAACCATTGTCAAAACCTGTCAAAGAACTTACAGATGAAGAGAAAAATTCAATAATAGAAAGTGCCAGGTCTGGAAATACAAACCCTAACTATAAAGTCACTTTTCATAGAAATGGAACGGCTAGTATCTCAAAAAAGAAACAGACTCTCACAAATAAAATATTGAAGTCTGAAGGAGCTTTCGAGACAACAGATGGGAAGGTATACTTCACTGACCAACAGTTCATTATAGAACATCTCATTGACTTAGAGTCGAAATATTCTAAACTTTACAACAAACACAAAAAGTTGAAAGGAAAACAAAAACAAATGGCATATGATATTTATGAAGATGTTAACGACACAACCATACCTGCAAGTGAGGTAAAGTCAGAGGAACCGAAAAGTGACGAAAAACCGATAGAAGAAGGGGAGCCAAAAACTGAAGATAAACCAAAACCAAAGTTTAGTTTCCAAACTAAACCAAGTCAACCTTCATTAGCTGGTATGGGTTGGCGTCAAAGACTTATGGCAGCAGGCGGTTATGTAAAGTAAAGAAAAAAAAACATTTTTTTATTTTTATAAAAATGCCCCCGTATAGAATGGATAGAAGGTCTGCTAGAATAAAAGCAGAGTTAGAAAGATATGGTTGGAAAGTTTCAAAGAAGTTTAAATATAGGAAGGGAAGACCCATAAAAGTCTATGACAAACTGGCTGGTCTGACCTATGAAATGGACTTGGAAACAGCACGCGCAAATTATCCAAACAGGTTAGAGAGGTTAGAAGAAGAACGTCTTATGGACATGCCTTTCAATGTTAACGAGCCGCAAGTTGAAGGACACGACGGCTTTGCCAGGTTCTACTGGAAACATGACGAACAATTGCATCCTTTGAGGAGGAAAAAAGGAAAAGGTGAAGACGCACATGCTCCCATGGAAAGAACAAGATATGCATATGAGAAGTATCGTGAAGTTAGAAGTAAAATTACATCTGGTCAAACCTTTACAGTAAACTTTGACGATGGAAAGAACAAAGAAGGCTTCATGGGAGTACTTGCTGCAATTCAAGACGGAAATAAGAAAGGATACAATCTCAGATTGACCATAACAGATTTGGATGGTCACATTTACTATGCACTGGCAATGTCACAACAGCTGCAATGCTTCTTGACGCTTTCAAGACTACAAAGAGAGAACAAATGGTTGACTCCGACTCAGACATTTTGAATGCAATTGAAGGAATTGTAAGCGTGAAGTTCGAATGGTATCAACCTAACCCTCAAGCAGTCAGACAACATGCTGGATACTTCCCCTTCATAAATAAGTCTGACATTGACTTATCATGACTTTATCTCCTAAAACCCCCTCAAATTTCCTTTTTTACTCTCTTATTCATTACTTTTACTTACATTATCATACTTTTTTACTTTTACATTATCATTCTTTTACTTCATTATCATTACTTTTACTGTACATTATCAATTACTTCTTCTTACCATTATCATTACTTTTTCTTAACATTATCATTACTTTTTATTTTACATTATCCATTACTTTTATTACATTATCATTACTTTTACTTACATTATCAATTACTTTTTTTCTTACATTATCATTAACTTTTAACTTACATTATCATTACTTTTACACTTTACATCATCATTAACTTTAACTTACATTATCAGACTTTATCGTTCGTAAAACCCTCTCAAATTTTTCCTTTTTACTCTCGTTTATCAGTTACTTTTACTGACATATCATTACTTTTTACTGTACAGGTTTCAGATACTTTTACTACAGTTAGCAGTTACAAATTTTACTTACAGTTAGCAGTTTACTTTTTCTGTTTACATTTATCACTTACTTTTTCTTACAGTTAAGAGTACTTTTACTGACAGTAGCAATGTCGAGGTCGAACCTACCGACGAGGCAATTTACCTACTTGGTAATTAACGACTTGTTTAAAGACTTCCTCAGCAAAATGTTAAAAGGCAAGCTTGTTACTTGGATAACGGAAGGGCTGCCTTGAATCTCGAGACTTCGACTGGAATTGCCAATTCAAATACCAGACACACCTAGGACGACATAAAGCAAGCCAAAGAAAGAAGTCTCTTCTCAAGTTTCTTTTCAACTCCCTTGATACTACTTCCAAACAAAGAACCCTTTCCCAAAATGAGCCAAATTCTCAAGGTCTCCTTCACTTCTCAGGGTCAACCATTCTACATAACCTGTTAAGGCGACATCCAACATTCATAAACCTTAACGTTTTAACTTCACTTTTTTATTTTTTTACTCACACTCGTTACTCCAACAGTTTGTGTTTACAACTATTTCAACTGTAACCTTGATGTTTACCTTCTTCCTTAAATGCAAGTTGTCAATACACAGTTTTATGTGTTCAAGAAAACAGTGGGAATGTTATTCTACATCTGTTGTTTCGCTCGAGATATAATTAAATTCCACACCCCAATCCACACCAACACTCAAGTTGCCAAAGACTTCATGTGTAAGAAGAAGCCTTCTGTAAGTTTTCTTATAGCCATATACATGTCACGTCTTTATAAAAACATTTTTTTCATTTTTTGAATGAAGCAAGTTAATTCGTCCACACCAAACTCAATTGACCGATGAAGTATTTTCAAGCTATGGTTTAAGGCTTGAGAACGACATAGACGGCGAACTTGAAGGAGCTCTCAAACCACAATTGCAAACCAAAATTGCAGAAGTCAAGGAACAGATAGCTCCACTTTAAAGCTCCAAAGCTACTCTTGACCTCATGATAGTTACCGTTTAGATGTCAAGAAGTGGAATAAGACAATTTAAAATAAAACTTCTTAAACTACGAAGCTATACTCCACAAAAGTTAGCAGAAATGAGAAGACTTTACCAGAGCTACTTACATGTAAGGGACTTACCTTCAAGCAGTCCGACCAAAGATGAATTTTCTGACATTGTCCCCAATTTTGTCCGAAGTCAGCTCAGATGTTTTGAACTGCCTCCCAACATATCCAGAATATGAACGTTTGCCTGAACTCTTCGCAAATCTCAAAAAACGTTTTTTGGTTCTCTGTTCGAAACTTTTATCGGAAGAGACAACAAACGTTCAGAAGAAGAACAAGATATTATTTTAAACTTGTTGTATGACTTAACGCGCTCATAACAAGCTTTTTGAAGTAAAACCGTTCATTCCTCAAACCACTTCATTTTTTCGATGTCCGATACAAGCACCGAACCGAACACAATGGCAGATGTCTTTGTTTGCCCAGAATCAGCGCCCATTCAAATTCAAATTTTGAATTTGAAAGCTCATCTTGACAAACACCGTTAAGACTCTCCAAAGTAGTCTTATGGAAAGAGATGAAGGGACTTAAAGGTGAGTTCCTCATGAACCAAGCTTCCAATGAG